TCAGACTAAAGAACGTCATATGAAAAGGGACACCAGAAGAGCACTCGATAGTTGTAACAGCAGGACCCATAGTCACTAGGAGTTCTCCTTTCGAAGTGAAACTTAAAGGGGAAGGCAGAAGTTGGAAAAATGAAAATTCCATTTTATAACAAATTACCCTTTATTTATAAAACTTTCAAGTAAAAAGAGCAGTATATCAACTGATAAAACAGGTGTGTCAATGAATAATAGTTAACACATTTACTCTGAAAATAAATCTTCTATGATTCCACCATACGCCAAGCAAAATTCCTGTCAAAAAGATGATGTTTGTTGGGAAGTCTACAGAGAGATGCAATGGTTGACACACAACAAAAACTTCCCTGCTCCACTGGCACGGGAACATATTTGAACTAAATCATCATTAGCACAGATCGATTCACTTTAACAGAGTCCCAATTCTAGATGAGGATTAAACAGAAATGAAATTCCTGAGAGGGAAGAATAAAATGCAAAAGGGAGAAATCAAACTCTCACACGAGGGAAAGCAACAATTCCACTTGGACCAAAATTCCTTGGGCCTCAGTTCTACAGAATAAATACTCTTCTCAATGGAGAAACACTAAAGAAGAAATAGTAACCCCCAAAAGGATTATAAGAAGAATCCAAGAAAAGTGCATTATCTTTGAGCAGAAGATGACAAAATAATTTCTACAGAATTTGTGACAACAGATTTCACAGACAGGAACTAAAAAAAAAAAAAAAAGAAAAAAAGAAAAGAAAAAGTTACACAGTCAGACACAGCTTGGAATTTCCTACACTTTGAGCACATTACATGAAACAAAATCCAGTAAGGACCGATGATGATCCTCACTGGGCAGAGATTTCATAAGGAAAAATTTGCCAATATAAAAATATTTCATACAGCACTGTTGTAGAAGTACTACTTTTATGAGCATCTGTTTTTATTGCAGAATGACTGGTATGTTTTACAACAAGACTATTTGAATATAACTTAGGGAAACCACTTGAGGTGAATGTGGATGTACTGGTCTCTAAAGGATAATGTGGGTAATTCAATACCTGTGTCCTACACGCAAAGTTTGCATGCGTAGGTTCAAGGTGAATAATTGTCTGTCTTTCCTGTTTGAACTGCTGTGCCTCGGCGCGGTGTGCAATTCACGGCTTTCCGTGAGTCATTCCAGCAGTGACGATACTCGGTATAAAACACACATGTGCCACTATAAAAGCCTACTAAACTCTTTGCGATTGCTCAACATACCACGGGGTCCAATAATTTATCCGAGCAGAAAGGCAAATCGCCTCCATTCTTTCCTCAACGCCAAGAATGCAATGGATCATCATTCCTCCTGAACTAGAAACTTAGGTGGAAACGGAGGAAAAACAGAGCTGAAATCCAGATGACAATTATGTGCAACCTCTATAACTGGAATGAAGCAACAAAAACATGTTTTCCACCTTAGCGTGCAACTGCTTAGGGGTGTGTGTGTGAATGGCTCCTTAAAAAGAATTATTAAAAAAAGGGGAAAAAGAGACGTGAAACTACAAGCAAACGTAGGAGAAAAAATCACTGCCTCAGCCTAGAGAAAAAAAGATGACAAGACCATCACACGCGAGATCAGAAATTGAGCCTGCATTTCAAAAAGACACTTTAAAAGCTTCAAAGAATGTGAAATCACATCCAGTGCAGATGATACCTACTTTCTGCCAGGTTTCTCTCTTACACTTGGCACAGCTAGCAAACACAGGTTTTCATGCCAATGAAAGTAATCTTGAAATGAATTTATTTGAAGTAGTTATTTCTCTTTTTCTTTCACCAGAACTTTGAAATTCTAAGAGCCACGATCTATTCTGCATTTCTGTAAAAATTCCATTTCTGTATCCCTGTTTATAGAGAATACATACATACACACAAGCTTTAATATATAGAATATATGTGCATATTCTACATATTCATTGTATATACACATTTTATGTACAGCACAAGTAACTATACACTAGACGTAGTACGTGGACATATATAGTATATACACACACTTATTACATTATACAATACTATATATATATATACACACACGCATAGACAAATAATATGGATCTCATAATGTACACTGTATATGCATTGTGTATACTCACTTTTTATATATCTTGCATTGTACACATTTTCTCTGCCCAAATAGTGATAGGCCTATTTGTGCTTTAAATTTCACTGTTCTGGAGGAAGAAGGTGATCATTATCTAGTGATAAAAGTTTTGTCTTAGAAGAACAAGTGCAGGTATTATACAAAACAAGCGTAAGGGAAGAACGCGAATCATCTTCCTCTTTATACAGAAAACTATTAAACACAATCAGAGATAACACAGCTAAGTTTTCTTCTACTGCAGTGTTTAAAAATCTGAATTAAGAGTGTTTTGGTAGACCTACGGTTACTAAAGCTATGACACTGTGCATAGAGGACGTGTTCTGTCCCTGCTCGTTTGCTTGATCTTCATTTACTGTCCAAGCAAATATGGAGAATGAGTCAATAAGGAAATAGGAAAACAAGCAATTAGTTGTAACGCTACATGGAATGCTAGATGAATTCACATTTCCGGCTTCCTGAAAACACCGACTCATTGCCTTAGAAGCATGATAAATTACAACATTTTAGAGCACTGACAAAATAGCAGAAAGTCTTGTTATGGTACATAACTCAGAAAATGAACCAAGCTCTTTAGCTCATCCGTCCCGTCCCACTGGAGTGATCTCATCCCAGCAGTAGTCCAAAAGCGGTTTTCCTTTCTAAAATGGCCCTACAAATGAATGGGGCTTTATTGTAGAAGAAGAGACACTACAAAGACTCAGGCCCAAATGAAAGTGAGAAGGAGAATCTTACACATGGATACAATTTAACTTCACTGAGAATCCTCCAGTCATCCAAGTCTGAAAATTGCTCTTTCATAGCAAAAGTTTGACCTCATGTTAGCTACAGACAGACCCAAGTTTGCTTTCAGAGACCTCAAATCCTGTACACCAACAGAAAAGAGAATTTGCTGACATTTTAGTATGTTTGATCATTAAATCTAACATAGTTCAGAGAAAAAATACTACAATTGAAACGGGTTTCAAATCAGATTCTGTCAAATTAGAAATATCTCCTATTGCATTCACAAGGAGTCATTTAAAGATGGCATTAAAAATCATTACATGGTTGCTAACATTCCCCTTCTGAGGGGAATTAAAGATTCACGTTATCTGCAGTACCATTAGCAAAGGAGACACCCAGCAAACAGGGAATTTTGACTCCTAAAACTGCATTTTGAGATCCGAGGTTTCAGTTTTGTCACATGTATTGCTGCATGGATGGATGTGTGCATGTGTCCACCCATCTACTCACAGAAACAAATGTCACATCTCAGCTGCATTTCAGAGCTGGAAACTATTAGGAAGGTTAAAAAGATCCAATCTGATTCTTATCTCTGTAAGGAAAGCATCCAGAATAAGGCAATTACAACAGAATGGGGAGAGATTGTTCTCATTCAGCGAGCAGGCACTATCTCCGTATTATGAAAAATAAAAGTAAGGAAGCAAAGACATAAAAAACAGAAACTCATTAAAGATGGACTATCACATTTAAAAAAAGTAGAGAAAATGTTCTAAGATAAGGGCTGCATCAGTAAACACACAGAATGCTAAGCCTTGTATTCCCACAGAACCAAGGATGGGAAAGCAGACACACATTAAGGACATTCAAAAAAATGTGCTAGATGCCTACTCTATTTAGACATGAGAGTCCAAGGCAAAGACAACTGAAGTTTTAGAATTCCTGTAATCAGAAAAGGCATTTTTAGTAAGTAAATAATTCACAGACTTATCATAAGGACTGATTTTCTATATGACGTGTGAAACACATTCTGGGTTATCCTTACCAGGTGGAAGCACTGAGTTCTACAGGTGAATATGAAATCTCTTCCTACTTGGACTTTCTACTGCAAGTTGTATCTTAAAGCCAATCCAGCCTACCAGTACTTCTATAACTTATGCATAAACGTGTATTTGGCAAATAAAATGTTTCAACTTGGCCTTTTCAGCTAAAATACGTTTTAACTGTAACCCATAGTACAAGAAAGGTGAAATGAGAGAAACGGAGGTAACGACTGTCTCACACAATCACTTGGGTAACACAAACAGTTGCTTTGACTTGACATGAAAGCAGCACTCAAACTTGTATCCCAATCCTGCAATCCTACTTGCTTCTGCGATAAAGCAAGATTTCGCCTAACTATTTAGTTGCCAAATTATTTGTCCAATTTATAACTGAATTAACTCTCTCTTTTACAACATCACATACAATTATTAAAACTCAATGCAAACAAACAAACATTTAGGTTAGAATTATTCATAGAGGCTTCAAATTAATATTTTTTACAGTTCACTATGTTTGTATCCGTCATATATAAATTGCCAGATTTTTTTGTAAAAGCCACATCTCCTCGATAAAAAGGGACCACTAATAATTAATTTATGCTGAAGATTTCAACACAGACAATGCAGATGACATAGTGATTAGCCTACAATGAATTACTAAATAAATGCAACAAGTGAAAGCTAATTCTATAAATATTACCTTTTTATGACACTTTCTTCGAAATTCGTACTGCAGCCTCAAAAAAACCAATGGAATTCAGGTAATAAAAAGCCAGTCTCCAGTTGCAGTTTACTATGTGCAACATTGTCTTCCAGATAAAGAAACTTTGCTTTCAGTATCTCAGGATCATATGTTAAACTTCTTACAAGCAGTAAATTTTATCTAGAACATATAATACAGCTTATACAGTGTTTCCTGCATATTATACACTTGAAAAGCCACACAGAGCCCTGTTTGACGTAACCAGCCAGTCTTGTTTAGAGTTGAAGGTGACTAAAATTATTTGCACAACATAAACCAAGAATTTAGTATTTTTATAAAAGCCACATTTAAAGGTTTCGCTTGGCCAGGGTGGAGCCAAAGAACCTCTATTTAAGAGTTTGGCATATCAGCCTTACTGAGTGCAATAGCCAACTCAAGGTCTTCTTGTTCTTGTCTCCGCAATCGAGCTAGTCTTTCTTGCTCTGCTTTTTCACTCTCACGCTTTGCCCATGCCAGCTGCTGTTCTTCATTGCCAAACTAAAAAATGAAAATGGAAAATAAATTAATACGTTTACCAAAAAGCTAGAAGAAATTACGTGAAAAATACAGCGAATCAGACTCATTAAATATATGATTCAAGTTTGCCAAGCTGTCTTAGGGTAGTTCTTCTGGATTAAGATAAAAGTGGACTCACTGATCTCCTCACTTCATCCTTTAATTTATTTCCTTAATTCCTTCCTCCTCCCACCAGGAAACTAACCCATCTGGGCTGCATGTCCCTGCATCCATGTCTCAGTTGTGTATGAAAATGGCCAGAGGACTGGAGCCAAACAAAAACTCCACAAACACAAAAAAAGCAAGTTAGTGGTTTGGGAGCATAGCAACCTACATCCATTTTTAAGAATAGTAAATAGCTGGTAAAAAACAAGAGTTATTTATTCTTATGCAACTCCAGCGTAGTGAGTTTTATTGTAGTATTTCCTGCTAAGGGTGAGGGGATTTAATAATGACTCTGGAGACTGCCGATTTGTGGGAAGTTTCATCACCAAATGAAAAGTTACATAAAGCGCTTCTGTTACTGTTCATAAAATACGTGCAGAGTTTTTCCAGTGAGAAGTAATGCAAGAGAATCCAATTTACTTCAGCAGAAAACACTAAGGAAATACAAGACATTTTGACATTCAGCTTCTAAGCCTGCTTGAGCTTCCCAAAGCACATTTAAGAACACTGCAGCAAAACTATTCCCGAATCATATTCCAGTATCCACCACTGAAGTATGCAAAAGTTTGCTTGTTTAAACTTTTTGCACAAAATATTAAAGTATTTTCTTGAAATCATAACAATCTAAAAGTAAAATATACTCTCTCAGTGTTTAATTTTAGCATTTGCTGAAGAGGACGATGTTAAGAGAAGCGTTCGCACAGCTGCAGGCAAATGTTTGCATTCTATCCCGCTTCTAAAATGTGCTTTGTACCATCTTTTTTTGAATGTTCAGGAAAACATATTATTTAGGGTTTTTTTGGAAGAGAAAGCCGTATGGAATTTATAGTTTCAATTTCAGCTGAATGTATACTGCAAAAACTGCCCTGTGGTCCACAACACAGAAACTCAACTCTGAACACAGCAAAATCTGACACTGCACCAGCTGATAGGGCTACACCTTCCCACACGAGCTTAAAATACTGAACTGAATATTCAACATAAATGAAAGTTGCATTTAATATTCAGCTAGCTGCATATTTAAAATATAGCTAGCTCCATATGTACTACATGATGGCCTCCACCCCTGCCTTTTCCACTCTGCATCCCATCTATAGTGTTTTTAAATAAATCCATCTATTTGGATTTCTTTCGACCCAAGTCCAGTTCTCATTTACTCCTAATTTAAATGATGTTTTCTCTATGTGCTTCTGGAAGCTCACAATTCCTCATTTTATTTCTCTCAATGATTTTTCAGGTGGTTTGATGCAAAAAAGAGGAATATTTTAAAATTACTTTTCTTCAAACAATACCTCTGCTGTCACTGCTATCAAAATTCAGATGAGGACCTTGGCATCCAATGGTATTGAAATACAATAAAAGTGCCACACATTTTATAATATTTGACTTTTAAAATGAAGAAAACCTACTATCATTACTCATTTAAATAATGGCAGCTGACAGGTTAAGATTTAAAAGCTCATTAAGATTTTAAATAGATTATTATCTTCAAGATACATTAAAGATGGACTCAAATGGAAGTAGAACTTCCCCACTTATGCCAAGAATTCAAAAAGATCATAGAGCTGAGATGGAGAATAGCATTTGCTATTTTCAGAAACACAATAAGCCTTGGTCAAAACCTTTAAACATTGAGAAAAGAATTTTACTTATATAGTTTATGTCTTCCAAAGCTTAGAAGAGTCACAATTATGACTTGTTTATGGTACACAAGTTATATTTTTGCGGTAAAAGTGCTGTGTAAAAAAAACAAAAGGAGGGGTGGGAAAGGCAAGTGGTTCACTGGACACAAATCTGGATGTGCCCTGTTACAACTGTTAGCATAAAGTGACATTTTCAGGAGCATAACTGACCATCAGATATTGAAATACACGACAGTTCATTAATGCCACTGATTCTTGCAGTGTAAAAGCTCATGTAACTGAATTACAAGTCATTTCATACAGTAACAACTTTTTTTGCATACATCCAGGTTTCAAAAAGTCTATAAATGTGATCACATCTCTGTTATTTCATTAAAACTTTTTTTTTTCCCCTTTTCCACAGTACAGTTAGACCCAAGGCATAAAAGGAGGAAAACAGCAGCCACACCAATCAAATACGCAAAAAGCTACACTGAGCTGTGTTTACTGAACTACCAGCTTGGATTAAGGGAAAAAATTTGGTTTTGTTCTAAATGCTCTGTTTCTCGGAAATTTAAATGCTTTCTGCTGGCAGAAAGATTGCTGCTCTTGTTGTTCTGTAAACTGAAGCTGAAACCTAGAAATACCTGAAATATGAGCCACCAAAAGACTTTGTTTTGTTCCAAAGAGTTATATGCAATGCCATTAGAAATATTAAGAATGCCATGAAGATCTACTGTAGATGCATAAATTTGCCAGTATATCTAAAAAAGTCAAATATTCTAGAGAGCTATGAAAAAAAATAGTGAAGGTCCTCATGTTACTTCTTTGCAACAGTAAAGAATTCCAATTAAAACTCAGGTTATTCAGTTACTGAAACCTGAATGATTCTACGATTCTGTTCTCGGATGCCATGGACTCCAATTGTGTGTCAAAAAACCTTCTGTAAGTAAAATTGCTTTTAATTTCCACTATGAACAATGTTTCCCAAACATTAGGCAAAGACAAGCACAATATTCTTGCTGATTACAAGGTAACAACTACACTTACAACTTCATACAGAAGGATTATGGATTACCAAGTGTAGCAACTTCATTGTGTTCTAGGCAAGGAAAAAAACAGCGAACTAAAGAACAGGGATCAAGTCTCTCTTGATCTCACTGACTTACTCTCTCTCAGTCAAATTCAGTTAACATTTTTGTTTTTCTTACAGCAGTAGAAAGCAATTCAGAAAACCCAATTAAAAATTTAATTTCATTGGATGAAGTGCCACTTAACAGTAACTTCAAGTGGCTCCTGATGGCACAACAAATTTAACACTAGAGCACCCACTGGGATGGAGATTAGAGCTTTTGGTTAATCATTTGATACAATCACTCGGTGTAAGCCACACTTTTACGTTAAGAAATGCAGTCTGCAGGATGATAATAGCTGGTAACAGTCATTCCACTCTGATATTTGTCTTGCATTGAAGGAAGAAATTACATGTTGTTCAAGAAATTGCAGATAAAGCAAGTTTTGCGTCTTACTTTTATTAAGAATGTCACCATTTTGTATACAATCACAGAATTTAACTGTGCAAATTCAACAGGCTAGTACTATCTGTGGTAAAGCATACATCATATCTTGAACTTGGATGTTGTCAGCATCATCGATAAATTAAAGCACTGAGGTCAGCTAAAGTATGCACAGATGACCTCAACTAACAATATCAAATAGGAAAGTGATACACATCTACTATTAACTAATACCTAGGGGGAAAACATCAAAAATTAGCAACCTGTAAGATTCAGTTTAAAGATCTCCACATGTTGAACACTGAACTGTGTCCATTGGAGTTCAGTAACAGACTGAGTTGGCAATTTTACTGCATGGCAATGTGACAGAACAAAAACACACAAAGGGAGGAAGCAGCCCAAGGCTGAGGATGGAACAGATTTCGATCTACTCATGGAAGCAGTAAGAACCACACTACTACTACATTTACAAGGAGTTCCAATTCAATACCGTACCTGCCAGCACTAAAAAGAAAGCCAGGCTTTTAGAAACCCTGATATTTTGTAATGATGGGTACTTGGCTTTGCTTTGAACCTTTCAATGCTGTCTTTCGGAGTGCAGTACGGACATTTCTGTATTGGTTCTACAAAACAATTTTGTTTTCTTGGGCTAACAAGGGCTTTTCTACAATATCAGTAACTGGAACAAAATTCAACAGCTGTATTTTCCATCTCTGTCTTGTATATGTATCTTTGTGACCACATTCCAGCGTATACAGCAAACATTGTGACAGGATTGTCAGAACTTTTTTTCCACACAATTACAAATATTTTACGGAATCTTTCCCTTCAAGGATTTGCTTTTCAGGATATGGTGAAATCGCTATATAAACGTTTTCAACAGTCGTTTTTGAATCTTTACATCATTGGCTCCCAAAAAATCAGTTTACAAAATAGCCTCCATGCAACAAAAACAATACACAGATTCTGCTACAAAGAATTTGTGAGTAAAGGCACACTGTACTAAAATAATTTAAATGCAAGTAAACCCTTTAAAATTTAGTATGAAACTTCTTTTTTATTGAAATAACGCCTTTTTATTACAGAAATATTAATACAAAAACAATGAGGACAGCATGAAGGTACTAAGAGACAGAAGCCAGTGAACAGTAGGTTTGTGGTTAAAACAAAAACCCAATAGATTGCTGCAAGCAGAGCAGAAAGTGGTTTGCTCAGAGACAATGAACTTAACTTACAGAGCTGAAGTCTGCAAACCCCAAGGAAGAGTCTTTAGAAGTTTTACTTGAAGAGGAGGGAGCAAATGGATCTTTTCCACTAAATGGGTCCCCAAAGACCTTTTTACTTTGAAACGGGTCACTGCTGTCAGCCCCAAATGGCTGGAATGGATCATGGGGCTTGGGAAAATCTGAAGACCCAAGGTGGCTTACAGGAGTACTTTTACCTGGAAATTCAGGGAAAACAAAAACAAAAACAAGACAAAAGGAGAAAAAGAAGTTACTTACCACCAATGCAATCCCCTTAAATAGGAAACTACTGGTGCAATTTAGCATCATCCATTCTTCTTGCGGTAGTTTAAGATTTCACCAAATGTAACGGTACTCATTTCTCAGTGCAAATAATCTCAAACAATTGTTTTATTTAATGGATTTATTATCTTACTTATATTTACTGCAACATTAATACCATCAAGATTTTAAATTATAAAGCCCAATATAAAGACATTTGGTCAGAAGAATTTGACAAATACAACTTTAGTTGATTTTCCAGGATTCGAGACATTTCAAGTTTAAGTTTGTGTTTATATAAAACCAAAAATATTAAAAGGTAGATATCACTAAAGATAAATAATTAATAGTGTTAAATGGAATTAAACAGTAACTTATCTGTGACTTCACAGAACACATCCATTCTGTACGTTTTCCTGGAACTGGTTTATCTTTCTACCACAACACGGACAAGAGGAAAAGAGACGGATTAAGAAGTCACCTTGCTCTGTGGTGCTTGCTGTGCAACTCACCTTTCGTAGGTGACTGCTTGCTCCTATACTCTACCCTAGTAATAAATGAAATCACAGAAACTATTGTGTATGCTCATAAATAATGACTCTATATTTTATTTGTTGCAATTGGAACGTCAATGGTTAAATTTTTAATTCCCTTTGCAAAAAGTACTGTGTCCTCAGGTCACATAACTACACAGATAAATGTAATTTTTTTCCACTTAAAAAGGCACACAATCTAGTCTCCAGGGAAAATCTTTTTTGAAATCTCCCATTCCTTGAACTATAATTTATTAGGAATATTAGAATTTATTCCCATCAGGATACACATACTAGGCAAGCATAGAGAAATGGAGTTGAACTCCCAAATTTTAGAGTATGTACATGGCATGTCTAAGACATAGCCTGATAGCTTTTAAGAAGTTACTTCGGCAGTTGCTTGTGAACTCCATAGTATTTGCTCAAATCTGTGGAAATCCCCATTTGTCAAAGAGAAATAAAGATCAGCAAACTTGTACTAAAATAACTAACCTATCCAGCAGCATGCCTTCACCTGCCGTTAAATCACAGCTGAGTCTCTCCCATGAGGTCAGCCAAAAATCAGACTTCCCTGCACTCAGCTTGGCAGCAGCACAGTGCTCTGCCATCACTGGGCTCCACACCTCACCAGTGGCACCTCCTTAGTGACTGCATGGGGTGCAGGGACCTATGGTCCCCAAACTCAGTGAGGCACAGATTCACGAGGGGCTGAAGGAACCACGCAGACTCTTATCTCAGTGCTAACATCATCCTCAGGCCTCAGATGTGACACAGCAACCACCTGCAGACACTTGCTTCAGGGAAAATGTGAAGTAAGAAAGCCCCCAGCTGAACAAACAGAAAGAAAGAGGCATAGAAAACAAGGCACATGCAATAGGAGATGTAACTGGATTTGTTTAGTCTTAAAGAGTATTAAAGGGGAACGTGATCATAGTCCTGTAGGCAAATCTTCCATCAAGAAGAAGGTTACTGGATTTAGATTTTACCAAGACAGAGTTATATTAGGCAGCTATAACATTTTTAAAATTTAATAATACTCAAGGACAGCCTAGGGAACTCATTGCATTCCATCATCAAGTCCATGAGGTTTGAGAAATGGTTTCTAGAAATCACACCAGTTAAACTGCCTTGAAGCTGGAGGATAAACGAGATTTCTTAAAAGTTCACCCCAGCACTCCTTTTCATGGCTCAGTACATGCTCCATCCCGGTTAACAGATGTGGCAAGGACATACGGATACCCAGACCAGCAACCACATGTGGACTTCTAAAGACAGGCAGATCAGACCAGTAGTTTGTCCGTCATGGAAGGGAGTGACAAAATATACAGGAAATACCAGCAGCATTTGCTCTCCCCACAAGCATGGACCTTCCTGCATCACAGTTTCAAACTACCTTTCCTATCAAAAGGCCAGGTATTGTTCTCCAAAATGCACCCCTGCACCTCCATCCCACTTGTCACCATGGCCTTCAGGAGACCTCACCTTCAGGCACAGCTGTGCAGTGGTAGGAAATAAAGAAACCTGCTAAGAGATCAGTAACTCAGCATTTTGTATGTCAATCTCCAGGAACAACTTATATTAACTTATATTTAACGTATATATATATATAATTATATTTATTTTAAATTACAATGAGAATTAATTAATTAATTAATCAAAGTATCTGCATTTCTAATCTAAGGTCACCTCTACATTCTTTTCCTCCTTCCTTTATTGCCAGTTAGCAAGCAAATTCCTCCTCATATCCTTCACTCTATATAGCTCCGAACCAATTTTGATTGATAAAGGCAAAAATGACCCATTTCAAGCTGCCCTCTTCTTAGGTTAAATTTTATCTTGCCGAAACCACTTTGTGGAACTGGTGACTGTTAATACCAATGCAAGGTTTGCAACGTATTTGCTCAGCAAACCTGTTTTTTCTAGGTGGCCTGTTTAATGTTTTTGCACAAAGCTCCCAGTGGTTTCGGAAGGTACACAAAGAGCATCGGGGTTTCTCGTGCTTCATCTTCACAACAGATCACACTGAATAACCTTGCTGTAGAGGAAATGTCACCATGAATATGAGCTACTGCTTATAATATTGAAAATTTTCATTGTAATTTGAGTGCCATTTTCTTCAGTTCTTGTAGGTTAAAGAAGAGAAAAGGGCTTTAATTTTACTTTGAAGAAAAGGTGAAAGAGGGAAGCCCCTATCAAATCAGGTTTACTTTTTGCAGAGCAGTTTTAAGGGCAGTGCCCATGCTGAATATGCCAATGCTGGCACTCACAACAGAGTCCTCAATGAGCCCTCTCTCACTACACTTTGCACTTTACTTACAGTTTGTTTTATCCTGCCACACTCAGCAAACGTGGTTTTGAGGCCTGGCAGAAGTGTGTTTGGTTCAGTTAGATGTTCAAATTTACTCATTTATTAGCCACAGATTAGTAATAATGACACTAAAATTCTCTTTGTGACGTCCTCGCTGGCTCACACCAAGTGTGAACCTCCCAGTGCAGTTTGTATAACTAAAGCACACACAGATTTTTGTATTCCCACGTTTTAGCATGTCAAGAATGCTGGTGCAGAATTTCTATAATGTAAAGCAAAAATACCCAAGCCACATTCAAAAGTTACCAGCTGAACTAAAGGACACTGGTAAAATCGTAATATTGCAAAATACACTCTTATTAGTCACCGAGATTGCATTAATGTTATATTAACTGGAGATTTAAAACTATTACTTTTTCACATGATACTGCTTGCTGTTTTTGAGGCACAGCAGTATGAAAGTGCAGGCAAACAGTTGTAACCCTTACTTATTTGATTTTTCTGCTAATAGTTTCAGGGGAAAAAACTTCAGAAAAAAGCAAAACAGGTCCTATTCTGAAACCACAGCAGTTTCAGCAGTTACCCAAGTGGTGCACCCAAACCACACCGAGGACTCACTTCAGCAAAAAGAGATGATGAACAAAATGGTTTACCACAGCAAATGCTGTTAACTTGTAGTGAACTCCACCCATGCAAAGGGTTTATCTAATTTCATGCCCCACAGCAGCTTTAGGGTCGAGATCTATAGTTCAAGGCAAATATAATCTCGCTGGTAGGACGGAATTACGGAATTTGTCTTGCTGAATTACAAGATCTTGACAATGAAACAATGAAGTAAAAGAGTTTTCTCTATATTCCAAGTTTCAAGGATGGTCCTAACTTTCTGCTTAGAAGAACATTTTATCAAATTAGGAGAAGCAGCATGTTTTCTTCTGTTTGAAGACTGGATTATGCAAGCTCACAGGCAAACCTGGCAGAGTTGAGACAACACAACTTTAAACTTTCACTAAACAACTGCTCCTTTCCAGGAAACTTTCTAAAGTGAAAAATATGCTGTAAGAAGTCAGAGTCGTGCTACACACGATAAGTAGTGATGGTGTGAGTTAAGTCCATACCTGCGATTATATTTGAAAATATAAACCCAAATACCAGGGTTCCTACCTCTCACATTGTTTATTTGCCAGGAGAAGCGTTGATTTAGAAAACTTTGGAGACTGCAGTGTTGTAAGGTGCCTCCCAGCACATCTTGCTCTTGGCACTTTACCAAATTTATGTATAATTCCTAACTTGCTCAGCATGTGTTTCACCATGCTGTTAAATTATCCAGCTCTTCCAGTGATGCAGAGTAAAACTTGCATAAACCGTGAACTTTAGGAACTTAAAGAAAGATTATGACTATTTTTCAAAACGTGCTTGAAGGTCAGTTGAACTAAAAATCAATTTTCAACAGGGGCTATTTCTGCACTGTATTTCAATCTCAACTGTTTGGCAATAAGGTTCTTTGCACAAAATCACTATGTATGTTTTTAGCAACAGAAGGAAGAGTTTTTCCTATGCAAAAACCCCTCAAAACTATTTTTGCTTAATATTTGCAAAATTTGCACCTTGAGCTAGCCTGTAACTCTGAAAACCTTAGCTTAAGAGAAGTATTCTGAAAACTAGGAACTTCTTCAGAGGTGAGGATAGAGAAATCGTTACACATTCAGCCTAACAACCTGTTCTGAAACAGGCTCTGAACAACCTCTTTCAACAATCAGTACTGAAATATCTTTACTGCGAGAGATCAGCACAAACAACCGAATCAAAGCGTGAATGGAATTTTTAGTTTGTGGCTGGGCAGGTGCTCCACCCATGAGTCATTTATCCTACACAACAAGGGATGCCTGTGTTCTAATGCAACTGTCAGGTCTTGCAAAGACATGAAAAATAATACTTAAAAAAAAAAAGCTTTCCTGTCAGTCAAACTTTGAGGCTGAATTTTTCACTCTCGGCTGCAGATGAGGAGAAAATAAAGGTAAACAGGCACTGTACTACTGGTAATAACCTCGAGTACTCAAGAAGCTCTAAGGAAACAGGTGTGTGGTACCACTCAGAA